TCTCGAGATCTGCTCGTCTCGCGAAGATTCACACTTACTCTTACAACCAACTTTCACTTTCTCCGTATATTCCCAAACTGAGCTCCGACATCTAAAGGAAGAGGGCATTGGTAAAGCAGCCTGAGATTAAGACAAACATTGCAATCGTCCTTTTGTTCCTGATCTAAACTCTGTCATGAAGCATCGTGGCTGTGCTTAGCCTACCATGATTAGTTGATGACGACTAACTCAATAATTCCTGATTCCCTCACCGCCAGAAATACTTACAAATTGTGATGCGACGCACAAAACCGAGTTCCATGATACCTTGCGGACAGAGACCAAATGTGGCAGCTGCGATCGAAGCCAGCTCGACCTCGCTAGATGTAATCTTTAACTCGAACAGTGTCATGATTCATCAAGTCTCTTAGGTTCACACTCAATGGGGTTTAAAGCCTCGACTCAGCTCGAAGGAATCAAGACCGTATTTCTCTCTGGGACCGATGCACTAGCTTCCGGCCTCTTCTGTTTGCAAATCACTCGACCATGACGCTTCGTTTCAGGGAAAGAGGGGATGACTGGGTCGATGAAAGCTTTCACCACGGAGAAACAGATACCGCTAAGTTAAGAATCGCTGTGATTCATTCGTCAAAGTCATAATGCCTAGAATAAAACGTCCTCCATGTCCTGCATCTATGTACTGTTCACCGTTTACCCCTTGCTCGCCTACTCATTGTCACCAACCAAGTTGGTTCCCTCTCGCAACCCCTCGACGACAAGATCATGACCCTCAGCTCGGCGGTAGATGTCCTTGACATCATCAGTGGTTGTCTCGAAGTGGCTGGTTGCATCGTAGCTCTTGGAGATGAAGATGTTGTCATTCACGCCGCTCTCAAGTGGCTCATAGAGAGGGATGGGAGGGCCCTGGAACACGTCAGCTATGTCGAGAGCTGGTTGGATAGATAAAACGTACCATGAACTTCTCCTCGATCTTGCCGAGACGCTCGAATCCAGGTGCAAGCTCAAGGTGGTGGTTTGCGGTTGTCTCAGAAATGGTCGAGACAATAGCAATGTAGTAACCTTTGGGGCAAACGCTGTGAGCGCTGGAGACAACGGCGATGTATATGTCTTTTCAGGTTAGCATAATTTCCCACAGTAGGGAAAACGGCATACCATTCTTGCGTCCGACCTGGGATTGCGGGATAATAAGTTGAGCCGAGTCACTGTTGTCCGTTCCTGCCAATGGGTGGTTCAAGATGCAAATGGCCTTCAAGACGTGACCGGTAACTTGAACCTTGCCAGGGAAATACGAAGGGTCTGCAAGGATCTTCTTGGCCTTGGTTTCGAACTTCATTGGCTCTTCTCCGCCTCTGTCTTGCATAGTGGCCTTGATACCAACCGCCTTGCTTCCATCATAGATGATCTCGTCGATGTTTGTATTCAGCATGTAGGTTCCGCCGTAGATAGCGGACAGACGTGCAAAACCTTGTGGCAGCTCTCCGAGACCGTAGAGAGGGTAGATGTATGGCGATTTGCCGTATCGAGAGACGGAGGTTCCGTAGAGATGAATCCGCTGAATAGCCTCGACAGCACCACCTTTCTCGTTCATGTAGTTGTCGGATGAATACAAGGCCATAGCATGACCAATGAAATCCCGAGTACCGGCCTCGAGGCCAAACTTGTCGTATACCTCTTTCATGGTGCAGTTTCGGATGTTGAGGCCTTGACTGTCAGCATAACATTCCATCTTGTACATGGGATTGACATACCATAGTGTGTTGCAGAATCTGCCTCGTTGAATGTGCCAACCCATTCGATGAAGGACTTCATTCTCCTCTTCTCGAATATGCCCATCAAAGAAGATCTCAGAGCTTCGCCAGCAGTCGAGGGAACCTTAGCAACAGTAGCCTTGGGCCCATTACCCTGTTGAACATAGCTTCCTGCCACTTGCTTGAATTCGAGGTATCTTGTGACGTCCGTTGATACAAGAATATTTGTCAGCTCGCCGCTGGACATCAGGAGCTTGGGAACGAGGTCGATGTTCCAGTCGTTCGCCCGTCCATACTTCTTCCATGGCTCCTCCCCCTTGTTGTAGTTTCCGTACTTCTTGAAGAGCTACCAACAATCAGAGGTGGCTCGCAGATTCGGAGGAGTCAACTCACGGCCTCGATATTAACACTAGCAGCTTCGGCACCATAGTGGTCGTTGCGGTCGATGTGAAGCACCTTCTTGCCCTTGACTGACAACACTCTGCATACCAGATTAGCCCATATCGAGATAGCTATTCCTTCTGGAATGCATACCCAGACAGAATGCACTCCGTCAAACCTGAAGTTCACAGATTGTTAGCTCTTTGACGTCGATGCCCCTCATCTGGCGGGGTAGGATTGACATTCGTACCAGTGCCCATTACCACCACATCGTATTCCTGTATTGATAGCCCAAAGTCAGTACGAAGTTACCATGCATGCGACAGAGTATGAAAGTTTGTTGCAGAAGCAGAAGCAGAAACACAAGACATGTCGGCATGCAGCTGTGGCTTTGGAGCTCCAGATCGCAAGGAAAGCAAGGAAGAGTGTAATCTCCACGGAGGGTAGATACTTACGGGAGCGATTTCATCCATATTGGCGACTTAATGCGAAAGTTTTTAGACAAAGAGAGGCACGAGACAGGAAGTTTGTTTCGAGCACAAGATTTGTTGTCGAGGTAGGTACGGTACGTCTTGAATGGAACCCACTAGCGCTGTGACAAGGGACGAAGCGGTGACCAAAACGTTCATGCCAGCATAAAGTGTGTCAAATGCAACAGCCCCATCGTGGCTGGGATTTTAATTTCACATGATATATGATACAGAGTCTTTACAATCGTCTTCCTACAGCTATGAAAGCTGTCTCTGCCGTTTGTAACGGATCTTGAGGCCCCTCAAGATGTGACAATAGCCCCACCACGGCTCTAATCCAACTCATATCCATACAATTTGTATACAACGCTTATACTATGCGTTCGGTGCAGATATTTGCTCGGGCTTTACCTCTGGCTCAGCTGCAATCTCTGCTAGTGGCTCTTCTTCCATGAAGTCGACGGGTTGGTAGAGAGGTCCCTCTCCAGATAGGTTGATTTCGGGATCGTTCTTCGCAACAGTTTCCGCATCCCTCCAGGAATAATATCTCTCAGTCAAAACCTGCTTGATAGCTCTTTGTGTCCTCCTCACCTACACCTAGTCAGATTGTTCCTCTAGTAGCCTTTGTAGAATAGCACTTACAGTGACATCCCTCTTCTCGGACTCGTATTGCCCATACCCAGCATCCAATTCTTTCCTCTCATACGCCTCTGTTGCAATGCGGTTTCTTTCCTTGGTAGAAATCCACCATAGAGCGTGTCTGCGAGGCAAGGTATTAGCAACTGGTCTGGAATTGGAAGATCTTGGGAGCGAAATGGCCTTACAAATCCTCCCAGCTTTTATGCCTCAATTCCTCCACACACCATGGTCGCCCGTGCTCAGCATCTTCTTCTGGTGTATTCATAGGCTTGTCCTTGCTGTGAAAGAACTGGTAAAGACCATGGTCGGGATCTACCTCAACTTTCGAGCGCTTCGATTCATCGAGGACGGGTTTCGGAAGCGGAGTCTTTGAGACGGAAACTGGCTGACGAAGACCTGTGCGTCTTTGGGTTGACACACCTCGTTCGCGGTTGTTGTCTCGTGGGTACGCATTCGATGTACCGCTGGAGAAAGGAGAGCCTTGCTGTTTAGGGGCGAAGATTGAGGGTAAGAGGAATGGCGGAGGGAGATGTTGTGGCCGACTGGATTTTAATACGCCTCTCAGAGCAGGCCGTAGAACTGTGGATGTCGACATGGTGAGCAGAGTTTGCCAATGCCTATGCTATGCTAATGCATCAACAGTGCAGCTTCAATCAAACGAAATGTACTTTTGTGGCTGCCTCAGGCTTCAATTACTGTTCCGACCCATGTCGAAATATAAAGTAATCAGAAGTTTTATATGCCAATCCATCGAGCTGAGAACTTATTTTCTCTCCCCCTTGAGTTTCGGTCGATGTATTACGTCCTCTAAATGCCACTTTTCCTGAACGAGTCGAATAAGAGTTGATTCGAGTTCATATGGGGACTGTACAGGATCAACTCCTTGTAAAAGAAATACCGTCTTTTGATATCCACGTTTAAGTCCAAGCATATTGTCAAGCATCATGGCCCCAGATCCTCAAAGGTCCTTCCAAGCTTATTATCCGACCCAGTTCGAGTTTCCCCGTACCTTTTACCTCTGCCTCGGCCCTTTCTCTTGCTACTTCGCGAAAAATCAATCAAGGGTTCTCGATTTTCGATTTTATGTGGCTTGTTGGACATCTGCTGTGGAATTTATGCGCTGAAACTTACTTCTCAGAGTTGAAGTCCTCTCCTGAGCGTTCGGAATGATGAACCTTCTGCAACCACATCCACTGCTTTTCAAATGCTTCAAGTGTGGAGTGGTTATCTATGAGACACCGGACGCCTTGCTACGAAGTTTGCAGACATCGATTGTCTCTCGGCGTACGGCTAGCTGACTATCTTGTGCATTGGAGGGGCTTCTTTTCGTCAGGAGGATCGTCCAACTCACGAGAGTTAGACTGGCAGACTTGTCAGACGAACTCAATTCGACTCAGCTCTTGGATACATGAACAAGGCACAGGATGGCGGACTAGTTATATCGGGGCGTATTATCTACGGGTTGCGCAGTTTGTGGTAGTGGTTGATGCTCGAGGGTCTGATGCTCGGTAGTAAGGCGTAACCTCACAAGAAGTTATTCTTTTCGCTGAGGAAGAACGAATTCCTGTGATATCTGTTAAATCAGTACTGCCAATGAAACCATAATAGATTTCTTGGTTGGGCACGATCAATGGGAGCCCACTTCGGCGAAAATTTTAAAATTTCTTCGGCATCCTCCTCCAACCGAAGGCACTTCGGCAACCCACATCAACACGGTCGTGTATGTTTAAATAACAATTCCTGCATCCATCAAATACCTGAAGCCCGGGTAGCTCAATCGGTAGAGCGTGTGGCTCTTAAGCTATAAGATAACCTCAAGGTCGCGGGTTGTAAGTAATAATTCTCAAGATTCAAAAACTGAAAACTAATTCTCTGTGTAGCGAGCCCCGGTATGTTCAATCAACTCTGATATCCGAAGCCCAAAACTAATAAATTCTCAGCCTCGGGCTCAATTCCCGAGTTCATGATGCCTCGTTTCTTTTTTGCTCTGTTCTGATGTAGTACTTGTTTTTTCTTTTCTTTTCTTTTTGGTTTGTGCTGCTGCAGGGAAACGCAGGTAACAAGCGAGGCCCCACCTCATCAACTCCAGAGCAGTGAGGTTGAGCTTCCAATGAAAGGCTTCTCCAAATCTGTGCTTGAGAGTATATTAAGCTTCATCTTGAATACGTGCTTGACCTCCATCTTTTGCTTGTCACTACTACTGTCCCTAGTCAACAAGCAGGGCCGCGGTAGGGATGCACAATGGGTATGCAACGACTTGACTTGACTTCATATCAAACCTGTTAAACAAACCACTTCATTCTCTTCGCGTTCAAGTTTGCGAGCTCCCCCAATTTCCCCGACGGTGTTCTTTTGATGCCGAGGTCTTCTTTTCTTTTCGAGCTTCCCACTTTCAATGTTCGTTACAACAAGATTCTTGAATGTTGCTGAACACTTTTGAATTCGGTCATCAAGTCCCGGCCTTGGAAAGGAGTACAAGTGTCATTTTCAAACCCCATCTTCTATCAACAAGTATATCTACCAACCTAGCCAATAATTTCTTGATGGTGCGGGGTATTTGAGTGTTCTCGTCAACCATGAAAATTTTCGAACGAGATGATCTCCCTCGTTTTTCAGAACATTCTTGCTTACTCGCCAACTGTATTAAAGCGAACAGCGTTTCCCAATCCCGAGTGCGCCTAGAACGTTTTCCCAAATCGCCATCCCGAGATTATTAACAATTTCCTCCAGTATCGGGGCCTGGATTATTATTTTTGAACAGTAATTTTTAATTTTTTAATAGATCGAAGACGCGTGGCATCTCGTCGTCGTTAGCTTCCTTGCTCGACCTCTGGTCAACTTGCATCTCGTCTACCTCGTCATCTGTCACCCCATCGTCCTCAGCTAAGCCATCATTTCTACGGAATCGCTCATCTTTACTGGAACCTGCCTCTGTATTATTGCTAGAATTCGGTATCTCGGATACCCTCGACCTCATTTGCATTTTCATCTTCAAGTCTGGTCCGTATCGTTAGATCATCTTTCCTCAAACTCACCTGCACATCACCTGCTTCGATTAATCGCTCACCAGCACCTGTGCTGTCATACCTTTTCATCCTCAATAATCTCCTCAAATCAAACAACTGACCTCCACAACATCCATCTCATCAACCTTACTCTTCGAAGACCATCAACATCTCAATCGGATAATGTCAAATAATTCAGTGCCCAAGAGCAGGCATACCAAGTCTTCTCACTCATCTCAAGAAGTTTCGCTTCGTCTTCGACATCTTGACCAAAAACACCGGGTTTGCGATCTATGCTGATAGCTAGCAACTCGACGTCGCCTTTTGTTTTCCACCTTCGCTGCGCACAATCACTTGCAATTTGCTTGCCCACTTGAGTATCTCAAGTCCTTCTTCGAAAGGTCTGTTTCAAGATGGTCTAAGTAAGCTGCTCCGCAAAGAGGTCAACACTGATAGGATCTAAGAGCTGTCTAGGAAAGGAATACGGAGCCAAGTTGAGCGGGGAACAAACGAGAAGAAACTCGAAGCTGGAAAGGATAGGGAATATTTCCCTACGACAATCTCAAAGCTGGGAAGCGTTGAGACATTTGTCTTTGAAGTACAACATCACTTGAACTCAACCCTAAAATTATCTGAAACCCCACACCTCGAATGGGTGTTTTGCCATTGACCTACTTCAAAAAGTGACCCGAACAGATGCTGAAGAGTGACATATTCCATATCAAAGTAGCAAGCTTATCCACAAGCCATCTTCACATGACAATCCCAAGCCCCTCCACCATCCCGTCTCACCAAAACCATCTTTTGTTGCTCATCGCACCTGCGCCCGATTCTGCGACATGCTTTCCACTATCCCAAACCATCTCCAAGATCACCAATGATCGTCAAAGCCAGACAACCTTCCTGTTCGTCCTAGAGCAGCAAGCTTGCGGTAGAAAATTTATATACGAAGTACGGGCACGGCTGAATGCAACGGAATAAAACCGCCGTGGTCCGAAGGCTTTCTGGCCGTATTCTGTTGTCAGCTTGGAGGTCATTGGCTAGGATGGGCGACGACTCCCAACAGATTTTTGGAGCATTTATAATCACAGCTTTGAAAATTGAGACTTGATGTTTTGGCTCGGATCTGATTGCCTTGTTTGATTCAAGATACTACTGTACAACATTACTGCTTGCGCTTGTTTTGTGCAGCCCCATTGCCGCTTCTATTAGATTTTGCCACCAACGCCTTCGAAATGCAATTCTTTCCAATTTGTCCCGACGACTTTCTCTTGCCACTTCCAAGCAGCAGTCCTGTGATCCTGATTTCTGAACGCTCAAAGGAAAAGCACAACCGAAACACCATTGATTGCTTCCATACGACCGACTGATCACAACAGAAACGTCAACCCAGCAGCACCGGCCCCAACGAACCCATGCCAGACATGTACGTTCATCTTCGCCCCCGAATTTCCCGTGACCGAGCTGGCCGCCGCGAAACTGGTCGAAGTCGACGAACTCCTCGATGATGTTTGCGTGCCGCTTGAAGAGATTGAAGTTGCAGTTGACTGAGACTCGGAAGCCGTTTTCGTGTCTGTAGTAGAAGTGATGAATACCGCCGAGGAGGCCGAACCGCTTGATGACACATCTGATGAGGTGATGACCGATCCCGTCAAGATCGTTTGTTGCGAACTCGCTGCCGTTCCCGTGATCTGGGCTGAGGATTGAGTTGTACTTGCTACTGCTGAAGCAGAAGTTGAGGCTGCAACACCGCCGTTGTAGCCAGCGAGGTAAGAAGGAGAGTAGGTCGCTGTGCCGGAGTAGAGAGGACAGCCTGGGACGGTGGTCTTTGGGGGTGCTCGTCCGCCGCCGCAGTCGAGGAAGTCGCAGAGTTCTCCAGTACCTGGGACGTACCAGATGAGAGATGCGCCGCCGTATGCAACTGTTGCTGAGGATGTGCAGCCTGAGAGATCTGTTCTGGCGGTTGCGAGAGCCGCGAGGGCGAGGAGGAAAAGGGGTGTTTGCATTTTAGCGAGTGTGTTTTCAGGGGTTGATGAAAAGAAAGCAGTTCTGAACTAAAATAGAATTATTGCAAGGAAGAAATAAAGGAGCAAAATCAACGTTGAACGAGTGTGGTTGATAACAAACAAAGGTGAACTTAAAAGAGGAAACTCGAAAGTGAAGTTCTTGAACCATTTTGCTGCGGCACAGGAAATTGCAGTGCTAATGCCAAATGGTGGCGACGAGGTAAGGCGGTGGCCAAAGTCAAACAATGAATTATTATTAGATACGAGGGGGCTTGGCATCAAACAACACGTGAAGGAGAAAGAAGGAACATTGAAGATATACAAACCGGTAAGGAAATACATGTCGGATGAAATTCTATGTTCTTAGGGTAGATAGTCAATGGCAGCCAAGATGTAGACCGTTATAGAACCGAAAGTCCTGTATAAAATTGCAACAAATGCCCCATAAACTCCGAAACAAGAGTCATGATGTTCTAGAACGTTGCTTGAACACTCACAACGACTCCTAACGCAAGTTAGGTCTAAATAGTCTTTTAGAGTCAGCGGTCACCATTGAGAAGTTCAGACGAAATATATCCAATTGGCCTCTTCACAGATTTCGTGCATCCCACGTTGTCGCCCACCCAGCCCACTTTACTATTGCGGCGAGAGGCTTTTCTGCACTGGCCAACTTCATGACTCGCTGACGGGAAGGGTGGGTTCGGAGGGGCCTCTGGGTCTTATGGCAGCACCAGAAACCACTCGGGTCTTTCGTCTCAAGATCCAAGAGAGCGGAAACCGCGCGCCTCCAAAAAGCAAACCACACGATTTCGAAGCTTCCATCATGGATGCTGGATGGGCGAGCATGGTCAAGGTCAAGCCAAAAACCCTGTGCATCCTGTTTTGGTTGATAAGCTGGTCCATGCAGCTGTACACCCTAGAACATCCTACCCTGCATCACTTAGACCCTGCAGTCCTTCCTTGGAGATTAATATCACGGGATGACGAGGCTCGATGCCAGCCACTCCCCTTTGTTCTACCCCTCAGCCTCGAAGATTCGGGGAAGCAATGGCATCAACGAATCAATGCTCGAAACAAGCATATGGCTGTTCTTCAGCTATACAGAAATCTGCCTCGAAAGACGACTGCCGTCCGAATTCAGAAATGCTCCGACCTGACTAGGATACTTGGCACGTTTGGAAGTTGGAGGATGGAACAATCTTCGACCACCATGATGAAGCCTTTGATGATTCGACGATTGATCTACGGAATGATCTGCGAGATATTTTCCTGACATGAGCAGGTTGAGACGAGTCACGACAGCTCTCTCGGAGCACGCAGCGTTTTTGGTAAGCCGACATTTCAAGAAATTTCAGACAAATGAAGCAGGATGCGGCACCACCTCCGAAGACAAGATGAGTGAGAGAGAATCACAGCCAAAGAAAGCCAAGAGGGCTACCGAATAGGCCTATTTCAGAATGGCACGTTGCGTGGCCTCCGGAGATAGACTGATGTTAATGGCGCCAGGAGGAATTATTCATCCTTATGAATCGGCGGTAGAAGATCGGTAGATCTCTGAAATATTGCCAGGACTCAGGATGCATGGTCTGACAATAGCTTGGCCTACAAGCGGCAATGGAAAGAATCACGACGACGTTGAAGCCTTTGAAACTCCATCATGCCGAGCATCCAGGTGCCAATCAACAATAGAACCAGACATAATATGAGCTGTCAACAGGGCACACACGCAAAAGGCCCTGGCGAGAGTTGGGGAAAGTGGCACCAGAACGTTTGGAGGGTGGAAAGCAATATGATTTAACTCTGTTTGGCAGCAGATCT